TATAATTACATACATGAAGCAAAAATGCATATTTATGTGCATTAGTGCCATGGACCTAACATCTGACACGACATGAGTTATCAGCGATAAATTATCTGCCGGCTTACATCTTCTATCATTAATATATGTTAAATAATATCATTAAATATGACGTATTGCTTTTTTGTCAATTATCTGCTGGCTTTGACCTGTATTAAAAAGAAACACGTGTATTGTATCTTAAAACAAATGCTTGATTTATATTTATATTTATATTTTTATTTATATTTATATCTTTATTTATATTTTTGTTTATATTTATATATTTTTTTTATTTTTTATTTTTTTAATGTGATTATGTCCTTGTTTACTAGATCTTTCTGATGCTGTCGAATTAACAAGTTTATCAAACGTGGCTGAAGTGTGTGGAATACAAAACCCCTCACTACTTCCTCAAGGATGTGATTTTAGTAACAACACAAAGTTTTGTAACTACACCCACGAGCCTGACAAGGGGTGGTTCAGGACAGACGGGCAGTACCCCACTGTGTTCGCCTTTTCCAAAATACCATCGTCACCAAACGGTAAATGAAACGAAGAGAAAATGTTAAAGCAATATAATTAAAAAATAAAATTCGGGTTTATGTTTAAGCATGTCAAATATTTATATATATATATGTATATGTTTAATCCATTTTCGAAATATTTTATTAGATTCCTCTCTGAATTTAAACAACTCTATTTGAACAATCTTTTCTAATGTGTCGAAATTAAAGTATTGACAGGCATTGCGTATTGAAGCATTATGAAGCGCTATCAATGGTAAATGCTTTAACGTTTTATTAGAGAAGTTTCAATTGTCAGAACACACGCCTATCTTATGTATATTTAACATTTGTATTTACAGGGACTTATGCTGTGTCAAACTTTAAGGATTTCGATTTGTTGAAAAACAACGATGATGCATTCCTGACATCACCTCCGATAGAAAATGGACTGGTCTGTGTAGAGTTTATTTATAGTCTTCAAGCTTATTATTCAAACTTGTTGGTCTCTGTTGAAAATACCACTTTATGGAATGCGCCTGCTTACACGCTAGGGGAGAAAGGATGGAAAAACATCGTTCTTGCTTTAAACAGCTCCAGTGCGTTTAAGGTAATATATAATTTTTCCCGGAAAAAGTAATATATCAGATTACGTTTCAACTATACACGTTTTACTCACTGTTTGATGCGATTGCAAACTAAGACTATTCTAAGTTGGAAAACATGTTGCTTTCCATTTTTTGCGGTTAATATTAAATTGCAATGTGTGTTAAACCTAAATAAAATTCTGAGTTGACTGAGTTCACGAAAAATGCATTATTTTATGCCCCTGCGACCTGCAAAATGCAGTTGACATTTTGAACAAGATAAAAATAAGTTTGTGGAATAAAAGGATCCACCATCAAAGACATATTGATATTAATTCTAATGAGTAAAAACTGCGTTCATTGACTGTAACATACGCTAGGTTAAAAGGGTGTGTGTAAAATTCTATTTTGTCAAATACATATTGATATGCAGTAGATGAACACTTGTGTATCCTTTTTAAAGGGATGTAGAAATGTTTATAAGTGAATTCACTGTTTGCATACGGTATTTTCTTAACACATTTTCTTTCGGATTTCAGTTACAGTTTAAAACGAAAAAGCTTAATTCGTATGCAACCGTTGGTATAGACTCAGTGAAGCTTTGGAAAGCGTATATACCATCCACAATCGCTCCCACGACAACAACGTTAGCGTTCCAACCAGCTGTGCTCCAGCAGTCAAATGGAAATTCTTTCAAAAAAGTACTTAATGCTGACCACTTTTGCAGCACAACAAATAAACAGTTATATGAAAGTTGTAGCTTTGATTCAGATCTTTGTAACTTCACACATCCACAAGAAAATTACCCTTGGAAGATACAGCGTGGGGGAAGTAGTCTTGCATTTGGAACTATAAAAGCTTCACCTGACGGTATGTGCACAACTTTCAAATATTATTGTTTTTAATCAAAACTGTATAACTTATGCAATCTGGATTTTAGCGGTACTTTCCCAAATAATGTGTATTTCCATGTTACTATGTAATGGTAGTTGTGCGATTGATAGGTTTCTACAAAAGATCATATTGAACACCTAACGATTTTAACACTAATGGTTATAAAAAAGTTCATAAAATTGATAATTTTCTAATCGATTGCTTTTTTTCTTGTTCTAGGAACTTATGTAAGTAAACAGTTTGCAACTGGGCATCCTTCAAGCCTCACTGCCAATTTACCGGACGGGAACATTTGTATAGAATTCACCTACTTCTTGTCAACCGGTTCCTCTGACATCCGGGTAGTTGTTTCTACACAATCTGATAGTAAGGATCTTTGGAAACCAACAGGGGCACAAACTCATGTATGGAAATCAGCTTTAATTGGAGTAGAAAGCTTAAACCCTTTCAACGTAAGTAATGAAATTCTCTGACAAAAACAAAACGACTTATTGTTCCCATATAACTTTTCAGTTTACAATTTCTATTGAAATTCCATGAAGGTATAGGTAGTGATTTGGTTTCGACGAGTATTTCTTTGAACATATGATACATGTATTAGAAACAATATAGGACGGAGGGAATGTTTACTTTGATTTAAGTTTACATAATGGTATACAGTAAATCAAAATTCATAATTTCACCTCGAAATTGACCCTTGTTAATTCCATTTAATGAAAATACAATTGCACAAAATAACAACAAGCACATCTGAAATGATCGAATTCGAACTTTGGGACTAAGATAAGTTTTAACATTTTAATTTGTTTTTGTTCATAGCTTTCTTTTACGTCAACGAAAACGAGTTATAGCAATATAATCGGCATCGACAGCGTACGGATTTGGAAAGTTGCCCTTCCAACTACTACAGCACAACCAACAACTGCACCGACCTCTACACCTACCACTACAGCTACCACGTCATCAACAACTACACCTACCTTTACACCTACCACTACCGCTACCACGCCATCAACAACAGCACCTATCTCTTCATCTGCTACTAATACCACCACCCCTACCACGCCATCAACAACTGCACCTAAATCTACATCTACCACTTTCACCACCACCACCAAGTCGTCAACAACTTCACATATCTCTACACCTACCACTTCCACCACCACTACCACGTCATCAACAACTACACCTACCTTTACACCTACCACTACCGCTATCATGCCATCAACAACTGCACCTATCTCTTCAATTGCCACTAATACCACCACCACTACCACGCCATCAACAACTGCACCTAAATCTACATCTACCACTTCCACCACCACCACCACCACCACCACCACCACCAAGTCGTCAACAACTGCACCTACCTCTACACCTACCACTACCTTGCCATCAACCACTACTACACCTGCCAGAGTAACAGCGGTAGTCAAACCTTCAAACGGAAATAATATTACCGAAGTCTTAAACGCTGAGGCCTTTTGCAGGACAGAATATAAACAACTATTACCAGAAAGTTGTGATTTTGACTCCAACCTCTGTAATTATACATACGTCAAGGGAAGAAATCAATGGCACACACAAGCTGGGTTATATACAACTTTATTCGAGAATATCAAAGCCTCGTCTGATGGTAAGCATATTTCTGTAAAGAATGAAAAATAATTATTTCTTCATTTACCTTAAGTGTAGTGTAAGATATTGCTTTTTTAAGGTCTGACTGAAACACCTTGTTCACTTTCGTTACATCACGCAAAATTTGGTATCTTTTCTATGATAATTACTCTCGATGATTTATCGTGTGTTTTGTTCATAAACATTGTCAAAGTTCGTGTTTTAAACTGTCTGTCAATCAAGCATGTGTCACGATGAAGTGAACCAATATATTCTGCAAACCAAACATATATTCTGCAAGCAACGAAAGTATAGACTGTTTTCATGACAGCAAACACATTCACTATGTCACAAACTAAGTTCCATTTCTAATTTAGAAAACGGACATACAATATTTGTTTGATATTTTTCAGGGAACTATGCGATAAAAGGTTCTCACCTCGGAGCAAGTACTGACCTTGTGAAAGCCAGTTTGAGTACGCCTGTACCGGAAGGGGACATATGTGTGGAATTTCAATATTTTCTATCCGGACAGGCAGCTGACCTTCTCGTGATCGCCAATATAAACACAGATAACCTACATGTGTGGAACACAACAGACAAGTTTACAAGAAGTTGGAATAGTGCAGTCATTGCCTTAAGAAGCTCTGACTCGTTTCAGGTGAGTAACGAAAAATTTACAAACTTGCTCCCTTAGTGATGAAGCATATCATTCGATTTATCAAATATACTTAAACTGAGACACATACATTTGTCTGATATTAATTAAATAAAAAAACGTAAGTTCTGTTGTTACATTACACTTCTCTAACTGTTTATTACGAACCCACATTTCACATATTTATCAACAGTAGATGGTCGTTATATATAATGCTGTTTTAACCTCGTAACAACCCTTATTAAATTCAAATATAATCTCTGAATCTATCTATGAATACTTCGAGCGCAACGTCAGTAGGATGCTTTTAAAATAATTACGTTCAACATTTCTAAATTACAGCTCTCTTTCACGACAACAAAAACAGGTTATAAGAGTTTGGTCGGCCTTGATAATGTTAAAATATACAGCTTACTGCCATTATCTACCACTGTATCAACTTCTACAACGACAACAACGCCATCTACTTCTGTATCATCTACTTCAACGACAACAACGCCATCTACTTCTGTATCATCTACTCCAACGACAACAACGCCATCTACTTCTGTATCATCTGCTCAAACGACAACAACGCCATCTACTTCTGTATCATCTACTCCAACGACAACAACGCCATCTACTTCTGTATCATCTACTCCTTCTACACCACCATCTTACAATTTAACAACTTCTCAAACAACGAAGACACAATCTACTTTTTCATCAACTAAACCAACAATGGAGCCACCATCAACCACTGTATCAACTCCTCAAACAACGACAACAACGCCATATACTTCTTCATCAATTAAACCAACAGCGAAAACACCATCTACCATTGTATCAACTACTCAAGCAGCGAAAACAACGCCATCTATTTCTTCTTCAACGAAACCAACAATGAAAACACCTTCTATCACTGTATCAACTACTCAAGCAACGAAAACAACGCCATCTATTTCTTCATCAAAGAAACCATCAACAAAAACACCATCTGCCACTGTATCAACTCCTCAAACAACGAAGACACAATCTACTTCTTCATCCCCTAAACCAACAATGGAACCACCATCAACCACTGTATCAACTACTCAAGCAACGAAACCAACGCCATCTATTTCTTCATCAACAAAACCAACAACGAAAACAACTTTTACCACTGTTTCAACTCCTCAAACAACAAAGACACAATCTACTTCTTCAGCAACTAAACCAACAATGGAACCACCATCAACCACTGTATCAACTACTCAAGCAACGAAAACAACGCCATCTATTTCTTCATCAACGAAACCAACAACGAAAACACCATCTGCCACTGTATCAACTCCTCAAACAACGAAAACACAATCTACTTTTTCATCTACTAAACCAACAATGGAACCACCATCAACCACTGTATCAACTACTAAAGCAACGAAAACAACGCCTTCTATTTCTTCATCAACAAAACCAACAACGAAAACACCATCTGCTACTGTATCAACTCCTCAAAGAACGAAAACACAATCTACATCTTCATCAACTAAACCAACAACGGAACCACCATCAACCACTGTATCACCTACTCAAGCAACGAAAACAACACCATCTATTTCTTCATCAACAAAACCAACAACGAAAACTCAATCTACTTCTTCATCAACTAAACCCACAACGGACCCACCATAAACCACTGTATCAACTACTCAAGAAACGAAAACAACGCCATCGATTTCTTCATCAACGAAACCAACAACGAAAACACAATCTACTTCTTCATCAACTAAACCCACAACGGAACCACCATCAACCACTGTATCAACTACTCCAACAACGAAAACATGGCCATTTATTTCTTCATCAACGAAACCAACAACGAAAACAACTTCTACCACTGTTTCAACTCCTCAAACAACGAAGACACAATCTACTTCTTCATCAACTAAACCTACAACGGAACCACCATCAACCACTAAATCAACTACTCTAACAACGAAAACCCCATCTTCGCCTGTAGCAACTTCTTCAACAACGAAAAAAACATCTACCACTGTAACAACTATTCCAACGATTAAAACACCATCTACTACTGTATCAACTGTACCATCTACTACTGTATCAACTGTAGTAGATGGTACAATTGATACAGTAGTAGATGGTACAGTTGATACTGTATCAACTGTACCATCTACTACTGGATCAACTGTACCATCTACTACTGTATCAATTGTACCATCTACTACTGTATCAACTGTACAATCTACTACTGTATCAATTGTACCATCTACTACTGTATCAACTGTACCATCTACTACTGTATCAATTGTACCATCTACTACTGTATCAACTGTACCATCTACGAAAACATCATCGACTTCTGTATCAGCTGCTCAAACGACACACACACCTTCAATCACTGTATCAATTACTCCAACAACGAAAATTCCATCAACCACGGTATTAACTATTTTATCTACGAAAACATTATCGACCATTGTATCAGCTACTCATACAATACGAACCTCTTCATCGGCAACACCGACCACTTCTTTACCAACAAGAACTTCCTCAACAACTTCTTCAACGACTTCTACGCCAACCACTTCTGAAGTATCATCTCTGAAGTCAGAACCATCCTCTATTAAAACACCAGCCACCATCGTGCCATCAACTGTATCCTCTACTAAACAATCAATTACAACCACAACCATGCCACCTACCACCTATAAGAAATCAAATCCACCCATTAACCTCACTACAACCATCCCAACTACTGTGAAACCAATAACATCAACCATCACTAACAAAATGTCACCGATGTCACTATCACGAAAAACGAACTCTCCGAGTCAAACATCGTCCCTTTCTGTATCTAAACAACCAGTGCATGTTCAGACTTCGAGTGGATATAGTGTTTCTACCTCGCTGTCAGGAGGAATGACGGAAACTACCACACCTTTACCTGGCTCTAGTTCAGCCAACTCAGGCAGCAAATCAAAGCTATCAGATAATGATATTGCTTTAATAGCGGGGACAGTGACTGGATGCTTGTTTGTTCTAGCCATTACATGTGTTGTTATTTATGCTATGTATAAGAAAAGACGAGAATCAGAAATTATCAAGCCTTACTTAAATACTAAATTTTGAAAATGGATGTGATAAAACATTTTTTCAGATAAACTCCCTCTAATTGAACAAATACATTACATGCTCTCATATGTAGGATTGTTATTGGTCTAATTACATTTAAGGATAGCTAAATTAAGCAATTGGTGTATTTTGGAATAATGTTTTTGATGAATTAGTCCCAGGCAAGTCATAACGTAGGCCACAGTGTTCGATTCACCTATAACAAAACCGATCTCAACTATTTGTGACCAATAAGTATACCATCTAAGAACAGACTCTGTTTGCATTTCTATTGTTCCGACATCATTGTTTTACTTCTGTACTCATAAATGTAAGATGTAAGCAATATTTGTTTCAAATCTACCGTCAGTATCTAACATTAGTATATGCTCATGCATTTCGGTGTAGCTTGAAGACATCTATATGCATGTTTTTATAGCGTTAAAACTTGTTCATATATTTCAGTGTAGCTTTACGACATCTATATGCATTTCAGTGTAGCTTTACGACATCTATATGCATTTCAGTGTAGCTTTACGACATTTATATGCATTTCAGTGTAGCTTTACGACATCTATATACATTTCAGTGTAGCTTTACGACATCTATATGCATTTCAGTGTAGCTTTACGACATCTATATGCATTTAAGTGTAGTGTTAAAACCTCTATGTATTCCATGGTAGCGTTGTTAAACATGTTCATGCATTTCGATATAGCTTACAGACTTCGTCATACATTTCAGTGTATCGTCAAAATATGTTCATGCATTGTAGTGTATTGGCAAGACATTTTCATACAATGGGTGTATCTTGAAGACGTATGCATATATTTCAGTGTTGCGTAAGGCATTTCAGTGTAGCGTTAATGCATTTCAGGGTAGCTTAAAGACATGTTCATACATTTAGTATATCTTTCAGACATGTTCATACATTTTAGTATATCTTTCAGACATGTTCATACACTTTAGCATATCTTTCAGACATGTTCATACATTTTAGTATATCTTTCAGACATGTTCATACATTTTAGTATATCTTTCAGACATGTTCATACACTTTAGCATATCTTTCAGACATGTTCATACATTTTAGTATATCTTTCAGACATGTTCATACATTTTAGTATATCTTTCAGACATGTTCATACACTTTAGCATATCTTTCAGACATGTTCATACATTTTAGTATATCTTTCAGACATGTTCATACATTTTAGTATATCTTTCAGACATGTTCATACACTTTAGCATATCTTTCAGACATGTTCATACATTTTAGTATATCTTTCAGACATGTTCATACATTTAGTATATCTTTCAGACATGTTCATACACAGACATGTTCATACATTTAGTATATCTTTCAGACATGTTCATACATTTTAGAATATCTTTCAGATATGTTCATACATTTTAGTATATCTTTCAGATATGTTCATACACTTTAGCATATCTTTTAGACATGTTCATACATTTTAGTATATCTTTCAGACATGTTCATACATTTAGTATATCTTTCAGAAATGTTCATACATTTAGTATATCTTTCAGACATGTTCATACATTTAGTATATCTTTCAGACATGTTCATACATTTAGTATATCTTTCAGACATGTTAATACACTTTAGCATATCTTTCAGACATGTTCATACATTTTAGTATATCTTTCAGACATGTTCATACATTTTAGTATATCTTTCAGACATGTTCATACATTTTAGTATATCTTTCAGACATGTTCATACATTTTAGTATATCTTTCAGACATGTTCATACACTTTAGCATATCTTTCAGACATGTTCATACATTTTAGTATATCTTTCAGACATGTTCATACATTTTAGTATATCTTTCAGACATGTTCATACACTTTAGCATATCTTTCAGACATGTTCATACATTTTAGTATATCTTTCAGACATGTTTATACATTTTAGTATATCTTTCAGACATGTTCATACACTTTAGCATATCTTTCAGACATGTTCATACATGTCAGTATAGCTTTCAGACATGCTAATACATGACAGTGTTATGTAAAGACATGTTCACATTTGTCATTGAGTATTTATGACTTGTACATATTGTATCATAATAAGGGCATGTTCATACAACTTAATGTAATGTAAAGACTTGTTCAGGATGTCAGTGTAGCTTCAAGACATCGTCAAGTGCACATTAATTCATTTCAACATTAGCGATCGTACATTCCCGTGTAGATTAAGGATGTGTTCATAGTTTGACTTAGTATTAGAACGTTTGATAAACTTCATGTTAGAATAAGTATCATGGGAATGAATTTGCACTTTGTAAGTAGGTATCACACATATGTATATACAAATACAAATATATCATCGTATGGATGTAAAAAGTTACCTCATTGTCTTTTTCTTGTATGGAAAAATGTCAATCTCTATTGTTATTTTTGTATTTACATCGGCTAATTTTTCATGTATATCTATGTCATATAAAATGAAATGCGGGCAATAAACAAATATTGAACTTATATGAAATTTGTAAAGTTCAAATATAACAAAATATCACTTCTATGAGTTTTCGTTGATATTGTCGGTATTGTTTTGTTTTAGGTATTAAAAATGTATCAAAATAAGATGGCTTATATTTGATTTATTATATACTTGTTCTATTTTACGTTGTATTTTTATTTCCTTCAAAATGCAGCTGAGAAATATTTTAAGCTGTACTAGGGCCATGTGTTCTACTTAACAGCAGGAAGACTAGATGTTTCCTGTGTCTCAACGTGAGAAGTAAATATACTGGCTAGTGCATACATGGTGCAATTTGAATAATCGAATCAACAAAATGAATTTTGCAAAAGGTAAGTGAAGTATACTTGCGTGCCCAATTCAAATCAGTTCGTTTATCATTCAGGAACCCTTCCTCGCAGTTCAGCCATGGTGTAAATAGAAAATCAATCCTTTTTTTCACATTGGACATAAAATAGTGAAATATCAAATGAACAGAAACGCATCTTTACTTTTAAGATTGATACTCTGTATGTTGTCGTGATATAATGTTCTACCCATTTCGTTATCTGACATACTAAACCTTATCCAAGTTACGTTGATAGATTCAATTAGTTATCACTGAGGTTATTATGAATAATGTATATATCACTCATATTACAATGATGATTTAAGTTTTGCTTAAAAGTAATCTGCTAAATATTGGTGTTTACAAGGTCGGAATGATTATTGATAGATGATTTGGTGTTTACGGTAGATATCAATGCTATATTGTAGAGGTACTGAATTTGACTTGCACGTCATCTCGAGATTACATTATTTAGGGTATTGCCACAACCGAAACTGACATGGTATATTCATAAGAATTGTTGTAATCGAAATCTACTTTAATCGTGACGTTGCCAATCAGGTGCATAACAGACACTTGTCGTAGTGTTGCATTAGCAGTCGAGGAAAATGGGGGTGGGGATTTACAAATTCTTCTAATGTAAGCACGATCATTCTCTGCTCAAAGACTAACGAATTTTCGGTACTCTTCTGATGTTTCCTACGTGCTAACAAAACAAAACA